TTCAGTAGTTTCCAACTACTGATCTTTCCTCTTTGCTTCCAACCTTTGCATTCCAACCACCAGTAATGATCAATACATCTTGATTGTATGTTTGATCAATTTAAGATTGAAGAAGTTGTTAGAATTCTTCTATTTCATCCTCATTGGCTTTAGTGATTGGTGCATCAATTTGAATAATAGTGGTATTAACTGGTCTTCCTTGTAGCTGCCTGGATATTATCCTATCACAGACAGCGTTGTACCTCATGACTGATCTTGAAATGTTCTTATTGGTGATGAATGTGATGCCATTCTTCTTCAATTTGTCATTCCTGGCACAATAAACCATGTGGTCGTCAGATTCAAAATGGCCAATACCAGTCCATTTCAGCTCACTAATGCCTAGGACATCATGTTTATGCATTCCATTTCATTTTTGACAATTTCCAGTTTTTCTAGATTCACACTTCATACATTCCATACTCTAACTATTAATGGATGTTTTCAGCTGTTTCTCTTCATTTTGTGTTGTGGCCCATCATCAAATGACGGTCCCGCAGGCTTTACTCCCATCAGCTTTACTCCATTCGTGTCATCACAGTCAACTCTACTTTGAGGAGGCAGCTCTTCCCCAGTCAGATTTTGAGTGACTTCTACCTGAGGGACTCATTTTCTGGCACTATATCTGACAGTGCTTCACTGCTATTCATAAGGTTTTCAGTGACTAAATATTCAGAAGTAGTCCGTCTCTCCTTCTTCTTAGTCTGTCTTTGTCTGGAAGCTCATTTGAAACCTGTCCATCGTGGGTGGCCCTGCTGGTATTTAAAGTAGTTTCCAGAATCACAGCAACAAACAAACCACAGTACGACAAACTGACAGACGAGTGGTCATTTCACAAAAGAGCCTTATTATAACCAGGCAATGCAGACCAGAGCCCCCTCAGTTCGGGGCAGGCTTAGCACCAAGGCAAAAAACATAATCCTGTTAAGAGTCTGTATAACAGACGAACAATTTACACAGTCTATAAAGTATACCGTAACATCAGGGAGAAATATATGAATGTACTCCTCAATATAAGTAACCAAATGACCAAAAGGACAGCATTTGCCTCCAAAACCAAGCTTAGAAGGTTGGAAGGGGCAGGAAAGAAGGAGGAATGAAGCAGGCAGTCCAGGGAGGAAGTGGTAAGGATGTGGGTATATTTTGTGCACTCAATGTCACAAAATAAAATGTGTGTCAATTGTTGAATGGAAAACAAATTTGCTCTGTAAACTTTCACCCAAATCACTATAAAAAGTTAAAAAAACAAAAACAGAGAGAGAGAGAGGTGACACAGGCTTTGAAGTCGGTGCTTAATTCAAATCTAAGCTCTGTTTGTATGAGGAGGATTCAAAATGTTTAAATCCAAAAGTATGGAACTAAAAGATAGTGGAATTCTTCCACAAACTTTTTGAAGCTCCCTTGAATTAGCTGGGTGGCCTTGAAAAAGTGACCAGCTTTTCTAAGTCTCGCTTTCATTTATGCTAAAATGAAAACAATAACCAAACCTTCCACTTTGGGGCTATTATGGGGAGTAATGAGGCTATGAACATTTCTGAACAAGTTTTTGTGTGGGTATCTGTTATCAATTCTCTTGGGCACATATGTAGGAGAGGGCTTGCTGGGTTCTATGATAACTTGATAGTTCACACTATGGGGATCTCCCAAACTGTGCTCCAAAAAAAGCTCCACCACTTTGTATTCCAATTTTGCCACTTTCTCAACAACACTTTTTATTGTCTGTCTGCCAGATTGCTGTCAGGATGACAGACTATAACGTTGATAAAATACTGAGCATGGGATGGCTAGCCTATCAGAAGCACTCTTGGGAGCAGGTGGATGCCACCATCATGATCATGATCAAATGCCTTTGGTTCCCATTTAAAAACACACACACAAACACTCCAAAACCCTATTGCTGTGAGGTCAGTTCTAACTCATGGTGGAGGCACCATCTGCTTTGGAACAGAACTGAACTCCATAGGGTTTTCAGTAACAGTCTTCTCACAGAAAGAAATCCTGGTGGTGCAGTGGTTAAGTGCTCAAGTGTTAATCAGAAGGATGTTGGTTTGAACCCACCCAGTGGCTCCAAAGAAGAAAAGACCTGGTAATTTGCTCCCATAAGCAGTATCGCCTGGAAACCCTGTGAGGCAGTTCTACACTATCACATTGGGACATGGTCAGTCGAAAATCGACTTGACGGTACCTGACAACAACAATGAACTTCTGCAAGTAGATAACCAGACCTTTCTTCTGAGGTACCACTGAGTGGATTCCAACCACCAACCAACCTTTCAGTTGTTGTTAAGTGCCGTCCAGTCGGGGCCGACTCATAGCTGTTTAGGATTTCTGAGGAGCAATTGGTAAGTTTGAACCACCGACCTTGAGGTTCAAACAGGCCTTGCAATCCAGTGCTTATCCTTCGGCACCACACCAGTCAACAGTAAATACTTTGCACCACTCATGATCATCAGGGAATAATTTAGGTTGCTATCATCAGTAGTGGTTACGAATCGGGCTGCGAACCTTAAGGTCAGCGGTTCGAAACTACCAGCCGCTCCGCGGGAGAAAGATGAGGCTTTCTACTCCCGTAAGGATTTACACCCTCGGAAACCCTGTACAGGGTCGCTATGGGTCGGACCCGACTCGACGGCACTTAACAAACAAACAAAAAAATCATCAGTTTATTGTGAAGAATCTAATAACCACTATTATTGAATCTGGGGATGCAGTGAAAGGATTCATCTTTTGTTTCTAACTCAGAGCAGAAGCAACACAATTTTGAGACCTTGGCACATCAAATACTCATTACAACCAAAGGGTAGAAGAGTCCTGGTGTGGTGCTATGGGCTAATGTACTGGACTGCAAAGTTGGTTTGAACTGTAAGGTTGGTGGTTCAAGCTCACCAGCTGCTCCTTGGAACTCTATAGAGGGTCACCATGGGTCGGAACAGACTCCACAGCATTAACAACAACAACAAAGGGTAGAAGTGTTCTATGGGGTTATTCCTGACAAAACAAAACCAAAGTCACCATCAAGGGGGCTAGGCTTGCGGGGTATACCCTTTGGTTGATCAATGATGCATGGAAGGGATTGTAACCATGGCAAGGAAATGATATACAACAGGATCAATGTGAAGCTGATGTCCTCCCATGTAAACTATCACATAATTCACAATAAAGCATTAAAAAAAAAAACCAAAGTCACTGTCACTAAATCGGTTCCTATTCGTAGCAACCCTTTAAAGGGCTTCCCTGACTGCAAATCTTTACGAGAGTAGACAGCCTCATCTTTTTCCCTTGGAGAGTCTAGTGGGCTTCTGATCACCAACTTCTAACCGCCAACACCTAATCCATAGGGCCACCAGGGCTTTCTAGGGTTAAACCCAGTCATGCAGAGAAGCAAGGCAGTCACATGTGAAGTGATGCTCTGCTGCGAGACAGAAAGCGTACAACATCCTCTTAGGTTCTGCCACTCAACATTTCATTTCCCTAAAATGGGAGCTTTTAAAACATCACTTACTGTAAAATAAATCACTTAAATTGAGCATGGAAGCATGTCAAAACCTAATACAAGCAAACAAAAAACCTTATTTACTTTAACACACACTTTTAACCACCTCTGGTAATCCATGCTGGACTCGAGTTGTCAAACATTTTATGAAATTTTGTATTCGCAAGAAGCTTTTTGCTTCTCCACCACCACCTCTTAACTAGAGATTAATGGTAGCGTTCTAGTGTGGAAAAGCAATCCATGTTTGCACAGAAAGGAGAGCATGGGAACAGGGCCCAAATTTATTATGTCTGTCCTCAAAAAAATAGGCAATTGTAGCAACAGACTAAATGCCCCTCAACAGAAGAATGGCTAAACAAACTTTGGTATTTACATACAGTGAATACTATGCAATATTGAAGAATAATGAAGAATCCGTGAAACCCTTCACAACATGGATGGAGCCTGGAGGACAGTATGCTGCGTGAAATTCATGGGTTTACCATCAAGCCAATTCCAACTCATAGTCAACCCTGTATTGGGTTACCTAGGCAGTAGATCTTTATGGGAGTAGAAAGTCTCAACTTTCTAGTCCATCACAAAAGGACAAATACTATATGAGACCAATGTTGCAAAAAGTTAAGAAAAGGTTTTCTTAATAAAAGAATCACTGATGGTTACGGGGGGAGAGGGAAAGAAAATTATTCATGGGCTGTATAGCATAGACACATGTTAACATGGCCAGGCCATTTATAACAAGAGGGAGGTTAGCAGAGGAATGATGAAGGTCAAGGCAGACACAGGGAGGAGTTCAAGAGTCAAAGTGAATAGAAGTAAAATCTGTGAACTGTTGGTACATACAAGGGATGACAATCATTGTGATGAAGAAAAGTATATGTTTTGCTGAATGTAAAAACTGATGATCTGCTCTGTAAACCTTCACTCAATTCACAATAAAAAGTTTTAAAAACATAAAAGGACAATTGCTGTTTTCTGAATCTTTTGTTTGCTAAGGTTTCTGAAAAGTCATGCTGTTTAGCCCAAGATACTACTATTCTGGTGATGGTGGTTTTACTAATTATATCAGCAAGCAGTTGGCTGTGACGGCCTTCTTAAAGACTAAGAACTGCATCTGTATATATCGCCTCAAATCAGTGATTCACAAATGACAAGTGACCTGCCTTAACTTATCCTTTGCCTTTAGACACATTTGTGGGTTCCTGTCAGGCTGGGGGATTCTTATTACTTGTTTATAGAAACAGTAGGTTGCATAATAGTCTAGCTGGGTTTTTTTAAAAAGCTATTTCGTAGTTTCCTGGTAACCATTCAGTCATCTATTTCAACACTCAGACATGGAATAAAGGCGGGTACTGAGCTACACATTGGCCACACAGCCGCACACCTCTTTCCTTGAGCATTTGCTAAGTGAGAGGCTCCGTCAGAATCACCAGATCCACTCAGGAACGGGAACATCCTGCAGAAAGACAGCATGTTCCTGCAAGTAGACCATAAGAACTGCTGTGTGTTCCGGGATGACTTCATTGCCAGCGTGTTGCCACCGATCTTGGTGCTGGAGTTCGTGTTTGGGCTTCTGGGCAATGGTCTTGCTCTGTGGGTTTTCTGCTTCCACCTCAAGTCCTGGAAATCCAGCCGGGTTTTCCTGTTCAACTTGGCCGTGGCTGACTTTCTCCTCATCATCTGCCTCCCGTTCCTGACAGACAACTACGTGAGGAAATGGGACTGGAGGTTTGGGGACATCGCCTGCCGGCTGATGCTCTTCATGCTGGCCATGAACCGTCAGGGCAGCATCATCTTCCTGACGGTGGTGGCCGTGGACAGGTATTTCCGAGTGGTTCATCCCCACCATGCTCTAAACAAGATCTCCAACCGGACGGCAGCCATCATCTCCTGCCTCCTGTGGGGTGTCACCATTGGCCTGACCTGTCACCTCCTCTATAAAAATTTGTTGACTCCAAATGATGGTGCATTTTTGTGCAGCAGCTTTAGCATCTGCAAAAACTTCGGGTGGCACGATGCCATGTTCCTTTTGGAGTTCTTTTTGCCCCTGGGCATCATCCTGTACTGCTCGGGCAGAATCATCTGGAGTCTGCGGCAGAGGCAAATGGACAGGCACGCAAAGATCAAGAGAGCCATTCGCTTCATCATGGTGGTCGCCATTGTCTTTATCATCTGCTTCCTGCCCAGTGTGGCCGTGAGGATAGGCATTTTCTGGCTCCTGAACACAGTGGGGATACAGGAATGTAGACCCTATCGCTCGATTGACCTGGCCTTTTTTATGACCCTCAGCTTCACCTATATGAACAGCATGTTGGACCCCCTGGTGTATTATTTCTCCAGTCCATCTTTTCCCAACTTCTTCTCCACCATGATTAACCACTGCCTCAGGAAGAAGTCACCAGGTGAGCCAGATCATAACCGCAGCACGAGCCTAGAGCTCACAGAGGACAAGATCACCACCAGGAACACTCCGGAAGCTTTAATGTCCAACTCCAGTGAGCCATGGAACCCCCGTTAACTGATCCCAATTTCTCCTCAAATAACCCAGCCGAAAAGCAACATTGTCACCAAAAACCAAGATCTCTAGATACATGATTTTACAGTTTCACAGAGTAATATCACTGGAATTGGCCCAGTTTTCCTGGGACTTTCAGATTCGGAGAATCAGATTTCAAGCAATCGCATAAGCAAGTGAGACACTTGGTTGCAGATTGTCACTACAGAAATCTTGGGGTGAGTGAGAGTAAAGCTTCTAGGCTTCTGAAATACCTGCTTACTCTCTGCCACACAGAGGACTGAAGGTGACGTTTCCAGCATTTCTGCTGAGCAGAATCAGAGGTACTGAGTAGTCCATAGGCACCTGGGACTTGTTGGCCTCCTTGCTTCACCTTCCTGAGACTTGGGTGGTTCTCAGCTCCTGTGGCAACATCTAGCATGTTCCTGGACTCTAGTTGGGAGAAGGAGAGCTAACAATTGAAGGAGCTACGTTTCTCCTGGAGGGAGCCGAGACATCATTGAACAAAACACTCAAACTGGGTTTGGTGGAACCAATTAATCTTTTAGCCACGCTGTCGCAGAAACAGACTAGGCAAAGAGATTCACAATCTTGGGTTAATATCTGAGTTGCCAGTGGAGGTAAGAAGGCAATAAGCCCAGGGGACTGAGCAGAAGTGTTGAATGAAGGGAAAGGAGAAGGCCTTTGTGCTCCAACCAGGGACTAATGTATTCCTCTCTTGTTTACATTAATCAGAGGGTGGAGTAATTAAAAAGGTTTCAGGAAAGAAAGCAGCTATCCACCTGTGTTTGCTTTTGTCACTAAAAGGAGAACGTGTTGCTGCCCAGTGGTTCTAGGGGCAGACTCCCTCGGCTACCTTTTCTTTCCACTGTGTATTTCTGTATTTAGAATAAATCCACCATGTTAATAAACTTTGATATGACACACAGTTTGGCGTTGCATATGTCTGGGTCATAGTTCATAGAAATGGACTTTTTACTTAAGCAGAGACCATCATGGGTTGTTAACTGTGTCCTGTTAGAAAAACTGGACGCTGTAAAGTGAGAGCAGGACACAGTGAGACAGTTAAAAATGACCTACACGTGGGACAAGGATGGGACAGGACTGGGAACAAATAAGAACAATGTAACTGGAAAGAGTAGATTGCATATGTATTTAAATTCTCTTTACAGCAGGGGTGAGGACACTTTTTTTCTCCCAAAATTTATAGCATCATTCATGAGCCATTAAAAATTATCAACTTAAAAAAGTAACCTGCCATATTTGGTGGAACACTTAATTGTCTCAACCCTAGTGTGATGGTGTGACACTGTGGGTTAATGCGCTGGATTGCAGTATCAGTTTGAGTCACCATGTTGGCGGTCCACACTCACCAGCTGCTCCTCGGAAACCCTATACAGGGTCGCTATGAGTTGGAACCGACTCGGCAGCTCTTAACAACAGCAACAGTATGATGGCTGGAACTGCGGTTGCCTTGGCAGGGCTAGACCACCCCTGATTTGGAGTTTGGTGAATGTTACTATTAGTATTCATGTACCAAAGAAGGCTGGCCAGGTTGGGATTTTTCTGGAGGAGGAGGAAGGGGGAGCTTCACAGGGCATCATTTCAGGACCCAGTTCTGGGATGGTAAAGAGGCGTGCTGGTTTAAATCTCTGATCAGTCCAAGTTTCTGTCGGCTGTCCTTCCCATCTCCTGCCACTCCTCGATTCTTTAACAAGAGGAGGCTTGCCTTGACCTCCTTATTTGGCTGCAGATAAGAAACTGAGCCTAAGACTCCCAGTCCTAGACGACAATAAATGAAGAAAAAAGATAGAGGTTCCTGAATTCCTTAAATGCAGAGCTGACTGCATGCTGTACCTCAAAGCAGCCTCGCAAGAAGGTTAAAATAGAAGGTTAGAATCAGGGAACGCCCCTCTAAAGAGGAAGAGGGGATACTGCCATGCTCAGAACACGGGAACTCCCTCAAACCTCAGATTGAATCAGCAGCAAGTCAGGCTATGAAACTCCAGTTTTTTCAACAGACAAGGTGGTTTGTGGTAAACGTTGCTTCAATGGTTCATGCATTCAGGCAGTTATTTATTATGCATCAACTATGTGTCAGGTGATGGTCTGATGAATAGAAAGGGAAAAAGGAAAAACATAGTCAAGTGTTTCCTCATAGAGCTCATGCTCCAGAGGGGGAGGCAGCTGACAAACCAATGAATGAGAAGGGAATTTTGGTTCCCTGTGGAGACCCAGGTTCCGTATGGCCAGCCACCATCTGTGTAGTTTGCAGTCATCAACTTCAACATTTATACACGACATAAAGGAGGGGACTGAACCACACATTTACCACACAGACACACATCTCTGTTTTCAGCATTTGTCAGGTGAGTTCCTCCACTGAACTAACCAGATCCAGCCCTGATCTGGAACGTCCTGCAGAAATCCAGCAGTTCTCTGGAAATGCACAAGAGCTGCTGTGTGTTCCTGTGTACTGAATCACCAATGTGTTTCTGTCAGTGTGGTGACTGAAGACTGTGTTTGGGCTTCCGGACAATGGACTGACTCTGGACTTTCTGCTGCCACAGCTGGATTTTCTTGTTTAGCCTGGCCATGACTGACTTTCTCCTCTGCTGGCCTTTCCTGATAGACACAGATGAGGCAACAGGGCTTGACGTTTGGCACTCTGCATGCCTCCTGATGCTTTTCATGTTAAGCAGCGGCATCTTCATGTTAAGATGTTAAGCACCACCATGTTGTCACATGATAATCACATGTTGTCATGTTAAGCGCCACCATTTTATCCTGTTAAGCACCACCATCTTATCATTTGTCATGTTAAGCATCACCATGTTATCATGTTAAGCACCACCATGTTAACATGTTAAGCACCACCATGAATGGTGGTGCACACACACAGGCATTTCTGGGTGGTCTGTCTCTACCATGCTCTCAAGTCAACCTCCAATTGGATGGCTGCTTTTTTGTGGCCTGCTTTCTGCGGAGTGTCATCATTGGCCTCACCTGTTTACCTTTCACATGCAAAGATGCAGACAGAAAACAATGATATATATTTGTGCCGTAGTTTTGATCATCTGCAATATGACAGGCATCATCTGCACGATGCCATGCTCCTTCTGGAGTCCTCCTTGCCCCTGGGCATCAACCCATTCTGCTCAGCCAGAATCACCTGGAGTCTGCGGCAAAGATAACAGGTACGTGAAGATTGAGAGTCAGTTGCTTCATCATGGTGGTAGCCAGTGTATTCATCATCGACTTCCTGCCCAGTGTGGTCATAAGGACAGGCATTTTCTGGGTCATCATAGAGTTGGGGTGCAGGATTGTAGCACTTATCATTCACCTGTTATTGTTGTTAAGTGCCATTGAGTTGGTTCTGACCTATAGTGACTCTGTATAGGGTCTCTGAGGAGCAACGGGTGAGCCTGAACTGCCGACCTTGTGGTTCAAACAGACTTTGCAGTCTAGCACATTAACCCACAGCGCCACACCAGGACTCCCATCACTCATCTAGCCTGGTGTTCAGCATGGCCATAGGCCTTAGGTACACCGAGAGCATGCTAGTCTACCTCTCCAGCTCTTCCTTCCCTAACTTCTCTACCAAGATCAACTGCTGGCTCTGGAAAAAGATAAGTCCGATACAACTGGACCAGGAACCTAGAGATCTAAAGAATCTGAACACTCCCCAGGAATGTTTTGGAAGTTTTAACAGCCAATTTCAGTGAGTCATGTAGCCTCATAATTTGGCCACAGCTTCTTAAATAACCCAACTAAGAAGCAACATTGTCACCAAACTCCAAGATCTCTAGATACATGGTTTACTGCTGCAAAGTAATATAATGGGGATTGACCAGAGGTTTCATGGGACTTCCAGGATTTCAGGCTGTCACTACAGAAATATTGGTATGAGTGAGAGTAAAGCCTCTAGGCTTTTAAAACTCCTGCTTAGTCTCTGCAGCATAGAGGACTGAGGGTGACATTTCCCGCATTTCTGCTGAGCAGAATTAGTGCCACAGAGAAGCTCACTGGCACCTGTGACTTGCTGGCCTCCTTGTTCATCTACCTGAGACTTGGATGGCTCTCAGCTCTTAGGGCAGCATCTAGCATGCTCTTGGACTCCAGCTGGGAGAAGGAGAGCTGATGATTGGAGGAAGCTGTGTTTCTCCTAGAGGGAACCCAGACATCACTGAACAAGAGAGTAGGTCAACTGGATCCCAGGGGACCAATTCATCTTTCGGTGATATGGTAGTAGAAACAGAGCAGGCAAAGAGACTCACAAACGTTGGTTAACAACTGAGCTGTCCGTGGTGACAAGAAGGCTGTGAGCCCCGAAAGGACTGAACTAAACAATTTTATGAAGAGAAATGACGTTTGTGCTCCAACCAGGGACTGATCCATTGCTCTCTTGTTTACTGGCAGCCCCTAGTTTATAAACAAGATCTATACTTAAGTGTTTTTTTGTGAATTTTTAAAGTTTTTATTGTGATTTGGGTGAAGGTTTACAGAGCGAATCGGTTTTTTATTCAACAATGCATACACGTTACTGTTTTGTGTCATTAATTGCAACCACCACGATGTGTGTTTCCTCATTTTTATTCTTCCACCTTCCCTATACCTTCCTGTCTTCTGAGCCTTCTCTCTCAGAAAATTCTATCTTTTTGATCTCCTACGGTTGATTTTTCTTAGGGGTGCGCACATCCCTGATGTTACTGTTCATCTTAAAGAGCTGTTGTTTATCTGTAACTTGATCCATGTTGGGAGATGGGGTTCAGTTTCAGGCTTAAAGGATGGTTAAGGACCATACTCTTGGAGGTTCCGCCAGTGAGCCTAGAATCTTCTTTATGATTTTGAGTTTTGTTTCACATTTTTTCCCACTGCATCTAGGACCTTCTAATGTGATCCCTTTCAGAGAGGTTGGTAGCAGCAGCCAGGCATCATCTAGTCCTTCTGGTCTCATGCAGGCTGAGGTTTGCTTGGGCCATTAGTCCTTTGGAACAATTTTTTCATCCATTTTTTTTTTTTTCACTCTGTTTTGCTCTGGATGGGAAGATTGGTTGCACCTTAGATGGTCATGCACAGG